GTCACGACCCCAAACCGCCCCTAGTAGTTTGGTGCCGTGATGGCCAGTAATCCTAGATTACTAAGGCCAACTTTCAAAATCCACACACCATCAGAGTATAATTATATGGGGCTAACAAGTACGGAAGCGATTTATACGAACAGATTAGTCCATAAGAGCTGTGCATAAGTTAAATGAAATAGCAATCATCTGCATATGGGTTACAACTCAATTACAAATGAAGCAAAGTACAAATTCCATCTTACATATTAACAAAAGGGCTTCACAAGCCGACATGAACAAAAATACAAATATTACAAATCGAGAAGCATAATTTTCAAGACTGCTGACTTAATTACAGGTTAAGCCGACATAATCTAAAACCCAAAATAAGCTCCAGAATCACATCAAGGCGTCACCGCCTTCTTGTTCATCACCTACATATATATATAGAGAGAGTGAGCTTGGATACTCAGTGAATGGTATAAATAATAAAGGGGTTTGCATGAATAATAGCCGAAGTCCTTTCAAAACAATACAAAACAAAACTTTATGTATAACAAGGAATGGACCTCGTCCATCTAACAGATCTTCAAAGCTTCAAAGGATACTTACTAGCATTACATTTTACAAATAATAACATTCCGGCAAACGTAGCCACGCGGTAAACCATCCGTGGCAAAACAAGACAAAACAAGAGGGGCATCTCACACAAGGGTGCTACAAAAGTTTAGAGTCCTCTAGCACAAGGGACCTATGTTACAAAGGCCCATAGCCTTTTAACACTAGAGTGCTGCGAAAGTTTAGAGTCCTCCAGCACAAGGGACTTTCAAGACAAGATGTCCTGCGAAAGTTTAGAGTCCTCCAGCACGAGGGACTTCCAAGACAAGATGTGCTGCGAACGTTTAAAGTCCTCCAGCACGAGGGACTTCCAAGACAAGATGTGCTACGAAAGTTTAGAGTCCTCCAGCACGAGGGACTTTCCGAGAAGGTCATTCAAGCAAGTATAATACGAGATACAAAACTAAGGACAATCATTCATGCTTAACAAATGCTTTCCAAAACAAAGCAAAGCAAAGTCTTTATCAAAACGTATAACATAGCTTTATTAAAAATACCACTCACCTAGTTCTTCAAACGTCAGGGTCAAGGCAAGTCCAAGTCCTACAAACAATGGCAAAGTCTATTGAATGCACTACTCAAAACAAGTCTAGCATACATGCAAATGACTTCGGCATTCTTCAAAAACTAAGTCAATCAAATCGAAACATAGTTTCTTATCTTTGGAAAAACACGCTTGGCAACTACCAGGACTTGGCCGAGGTCCCACACCTTCTCGCCGAGGTGTGGTCCCGACGGCCACATTCGAAAGCGTAGTCGGGAAAAATCTGGGTTTCCCTCTTGATAGACATGAAGAACAAGAGCATGAAGAACTTGAAGAACATGAACATGAGGAAGATGAATGCAAAGATCAAAACTTGCTATTACAACAGCTGAGACTTCATGCTATGAATTCAAAAACATGGACCTGGGTACCCACACTCAAGGATCTTATCAAAACAAACACAAAAACATGAGCTTTAATGCAATCTTTCGGATCAAACTATTCTTTTCCTCAAAAACACATGAAAACCGTTTTCTCTTTCTAAAACCAACTTTAAATCGATGAATGGCGTGCGGAACAGGTTTGATCGTGCAATGCAGCTAGATGATCAATGAGAACAACAAGAATAGGTTACGATTCTAGCCTCAAAACCCGAATCTAACGGTTCCAGCTCCAACGATCAAGCTTGGAAGTTCACTCTCTCTAGCTTAAACTTCTCCTTCTTCTTCCTTGAGTTTTCTCTCTCTAAAAGGCAAGACTTGATACAAATGATGTGTTTCTCACGACAATCACTAACTTAATCCCTATGTCAGGACATGTGACATCGGCTGATTCGCTCAACTCAAAAAGGTGACTGACTTGACAAGACAAGACCAAGACAAAGTGTACTCAACAAGCTAGGCGGCAAGAACACACTGGCAAGTAACGACATCGGCTAACAACAAGACTCCGGCAATCAAGGGGCAAGGACATCGGCTTGGAAGGACAACACTTGACTAAACTGTGCCACACTTTGGCCTAGATGTGCCACACCTCGGTCTAGGTCATACCATTCCAGGAACAAAATCACAAATGCAAGGATCAAGGATCTAGAACACCTA